AGAAAATGCACGATGCATAAATTGGAATGTGTGGTTTCTAATATGAATGTGACGAATTAACCAAAATTGTTGAGATTAATAATTGAAATAAATACCTCGAAAAGGCCCAACGCATTTAATAGGCTAGCAATGGTGGTGTCATGACCACTGTATATCCACAAATTTCGATTTGGTGTTAGGGAATTATTCATCTTTTGTGTAAAACGGTCGAGCATTTCTCGTAGAAAGAATCCAGATTTCAAGCGCGCCAATGTGTTGGTGTTTGTTTTAATTTTGAAACAAAAATTGGCCAATTTATTCATATCACTGTCCGGATAAAATACTTTCGATGTCCAATCTGGCAGCGGAAAATTTTTCAAACTTTCCACCCACAGCGCTTGATATATGGTTTTGACTTTACAAATCGTTTTGACCTTCTGACCAACATACTTTTCCAAGTAATCAAACAACGTTCGATTGCTTTTTATTATCGATTGTATTTCATCTGATTCTTCATAGTCATCAAAAGCCTTAGCGTATTTGGGACATGGTCTCTTTGTTGCTATAATTCCATCTTGATCTTGTGGGAGCGTATGAATGGGGATGGCTTGCCACAACAGTGATTCATTCCAAATTTGATGGTCCTTCGGCGGAAACATACCAGCTAATACATGAGCTGCAGTCACTTTTTTATTTAAAAAATACAATTTTCAACATTAATCCTCAAAAATTAAAGAAAATAATGGGAATCAATCACACTTACTCAAGGTTCTATCAAGATCTGAGCTCTGGACATAAATTGTATTTCTGTGATATGATCCGTTATTTGCGAGAAGTTTTGAATACCGTCTCCGAAGATAGTCGCCTAATTCATGTGCTTGTTGCCGCCCGATCTATGATTCATTCAATGGTTTCTCTTTTAATTAGCTTAGATCTATATTAATTAGAAGATAAATGTTACGTTTGTAAGTTGTGCCAACCCTTCTGGCCAATACAATTCACTTTGCCATGGGTCATTTTCATATGTTTTGATTATATTCCG